TGAGTTAACATGGAGAACTTTGTGAATGTGGAACATTTTTTGATGGTTGAGTTTGTTGAGTTAATTCATCGTTAAGTAGTCATAGAACCAACTTACAACAACAGTAAACACGTAGGTACATTAATTAAACAGAACGTATGTTGCAACTCGAGGAAATGTATTCATTCGTCTCATAGATACGAACGTCATTTTTAGGTTAAGCAAAGAAACCCTGAACAGCTTTCAATTGTCTAAAAAATTTTTCTCTCCTTGTATGAGTCGGCAAAGATGAATCATCACTTCAGATTGAAGAAATTTTCATGCCAAATTTTCATCTTATTTCGTTAAATTATACTGATCCCTCTAAACTGTAAATGAACAGAGGATTTCAATAAACCCCCTTGGAAAAAACTCATTTACTGACCCAATAACTACGGGTATAAGATTTCGTTTATACATGGATGAATGGCGCTTCCCAAACAAAACTTTATTTTTATGAAAAAACAACAAATTGCAATTAATATTGCTTATAGCGGAACATTACGAAAATATCTGAAACATTACTGGATGGAAAATGTTTAATAAGTGACTGGAGACTTTTAGGAATACTTCTTAGCACAATTCAGAGACACAAGCTTTATCTTAAAGAGGTAGATTTGGCCGAAAAGTCTTTTAATCTGGTGGTCTATTAAAAGACCTCAATCAGGGTATTTTCGTATTCACATACAAAATTATCTTTAAGTTGAAGGAAACCTTTAAATTGTAGTTTACTGCGAGAGAAAATACCAAAGAGGGAATTAATCATGAAGCAACAGAGATGGTAAAGATGGACAAGATTGACACGATTGCAAACGACGAACTTGAAATATTTCGGCTAAACTTTTCAAGATNACCAACTTACAACAACAGTAAACACGTAGGTACATTAATTAAACAGAACGTATGTTGCAACTCGAGGAAATGTATTCATTCGTCTCATAGATACGAACGTCATTTTTAGGTTAAGCAAAGAAACCCTGAACAGCTTTCAATTGTCTAAAAAACTTTTCTCTCCTTGTATGAGTCGGCAAAGATGAATCATCACTTCAGATTGAAGAAATTTTCATGCCAAATTTTCATCTTATTTCGTTATCAAAACTCCTTGTCTATTTTATTTTCGCAGTGTAAAATTTCACTATGTTAAAGAAACACACATGATATTAGTAGTCTTTTGGCGTTGGTGAAAATTGTTACAGCATCTCGGCACAAAAGACAACGAAAGAAATCTTAATCAAGATTTGTTGACAATTGAAAACACCGACTTGAACTTGAAAGTGCACGAGCTGCATTATGCAAATGAGCTACTTTTATGCGTCAGACTTTCCTTTCAAAAACTTTTGGAAACTCGCCAAACAAACAGAAACAATAAGAAACTATAAAAACAGGGTTTGGTTGTGATTAAGCATTGTTTGGGAAACTCACAAATTAACTCGATACCAGAGTTAAGAGTCTTCTTACATAACTTTTCTTTATAGAACAAGCACAAAAGCTCACGCGTACAACTAGCGCGAGCACTCATTCACGGCGCGAAATCGAAGTCATGTTTTCGACCCTGAAAAACTCACCTTTTCCATTAGCTCAGAGCATAAAACTACATATAAGNTTGTAGACAATTGAAAACACCGACTCGGATTTAAAAGTGCACGCGCTGCACTATGCAAATGAGAAAACTTTTGCAAACTCGCCAAACAAACAGAAACAATAAGGAACTATCATAAACAGGGTTTGGTTATGATCAAGCATTGTTCGGGAAACTCACAAATTAACTCGATACCAGAGCAAAGATTTTTCTTGCATAACTTTTCTTTACAGAACAAACGCGCGTACAGCTAGCGCGAGCAGGTATTATTCATTCACAGCGCAAAATTAAAGTCTTGTTTTCGACCCTGAAAAACTCACCTTTTCCATTAGCTCAGAGCATAAAACTACATATAAGAGCCCTGGTTCTTATTCCCTGCCTTATTCCCTGCCATCGGTGTGAAACATGTGCAAGAGAGTCTCGCAACTCTGACCATTTGATCACGCAACATGACAACATCCATGCGAGAGCCCACGACAGGTGCGTGAATCCGTGCGGATATATGACATCAGGATGGCACAATTTGTTCTAAAAATAGAAAAATTGTCCCATATCATAAGTGCTCGCAGATCCCAAGACTTACGTCCCCGATTATGGCTCCTGATTCATGACAGTAGAATTTTTCACGCCTACTTAATACTGATTGGTCAAGTCAAGTCAAGTCAAGTCATCTTTATTCAGGCAGGGTAGCCCCATCAGTCA